AAAAAAGAAAATTAATAAATGAAAATTAAAAAAAATAATAAATATAAAATAATTTTAATTTAAAAGAAAAAACGCCATAAAACCCAATTCCCTAAGAGGAAAAACCCACAAAAATGTTAGAAAAAAATCGTAAAAAAAGGGGGAGGCGAAGGGGGATCCAGGAGAGAAAAAACACAAATATTTTTAGCACGCATTTTTGTCATTTTTACACTGTCCGATGACAAAAGAACTTCCCTCGAGATAAATAAAGTTCTTATCTTATCTTATCTTAGGCCGTGCAGGTGCGCTCTTCTTCCTGTCCTCCAGGGGGCGACGTGGAGGTGTATATCCGTCATCTAAACAACGGCAGGAAAGGAGGAAGAGAAATGGGGGAAATGCCATTACAAATAAGAAGAGAGCAACTGACATTGAATTACTGGGCAAGTTTACAAGGACATGGTCAAGATCATCTGACAAAAACTGTTTTCCAACCGTGCTGGGATAAAGACAAAGGTGAATTGAAGAGCTTTGGGTGGACAGTGGGACAGAAAGCAGCTGAACTTAATCTGGACAAGATCAACATAAGTCAAACAGCACCGTTGCCTACAATACCACCATGGATGCTCCCTGATGCAGTAGCAGATTTCACATTGTTAAACAAAAAGAACAAGGAGAGGGGGTTTATCTTACATTCACATACAGTGCAGGGATATATTAATCAGTATTGTAGTTATGTCAAAATCTACACAGATGCATCAAAGAATACAGCCAACCAAAGCGGGATAGCATTTATACTTCCTGAATTTAATATCAAGGTAGGGAAAAGGATCAGTGACGATTTATCAGTGTACACAGAAGAAATGGTTTCATTATTGTTAGCAGTCCAGTGGATTGAAGAAATAAAACCACTAAGATCTGTGATATGTTCAGACTCGAGCTCATCACCGGCCAGTCTGCAAGACTGTCACTCAGAATCCAGACTGACATTCTGATAGAGATCCAGCAAACATTATTCAGAATAATTATGATGGGGCTTATGGTCACAT